CCTTTCCAGGCGCTCCTCTGGCAAAGGAGCATGGGGGCGCTTTACAACGCGTGCCCACCTTCCGGGTCTCTCTCTGTGCAATCATTTCTGGGGGAGCGGGGGGGGGGCGAAACATACCACGGCATCGAGATACTGCTCTCCCAGCCCTCACTCTCCCTTCACCGTCCCACTTCAAGGGAGCTGTGGAGGCCTCACATTCATACAAAAGGGCCATACGTATAAGGAGGAACAAACAGAAGCTCAGGCCAGTCTGGGCAGCAGTAACGCTGCTCTATGGTAATGGCCCTGGCTCAGAGGATGGGCTAGGGTTCGACCCCCGAAGGGCCAGGCCGCTGTCTGGGAGTTCCCCTGGGCTCCGCCTGAGCCCCGAGAGCAGGTGGCGGGTTTGCTGGGAGTGGACTGGCGCCGGTTTGGCTGCCATGCTAAGAGGGACTAGAGGCGGACATGGCAAGGCCTCTCCTTTGGTCCAGGGCGAGGCTGCCGTTGAAGCTGCTGGCCCCAAATGTCGTTGCCAGACTGCCGAGGGAGGAGGATGCCGCTGCCCGGGGGCAGGGGCTGTACTGGCCGCTGGCCTTCTTTCGGTGCCCAGTGCCTGTCTTAACCTTCAGCGCCTGAAGCAGCGTAGGCCCAGGCACTAGGGGGACATGCCGGTCTGCAGGTGAGGCTCCACCCAGCATCCTGATGTTCTCAGACATACAGCTGGAAGAAGCACCAGAGCAAACCCTTCAGTGGCCAGATCTGGATCTGGCATCTCCTCCTCCCCAGGCCGGTCCTCTCCCGCCTTCCTGTTGTTCAACCAGGGGTGAAACTTGTCTTTCCCAGCCTATCAGATGAGTTTAATCAGAGGTTTTTATGGTTCTCCTCTTGCAGAAGTGGTTGGCGCTGTCTTTGCTTTTAGTGCTGTTTAATTCTTTGGCGTGTGGTATTCATGGTGTGTTTTTAATTGTTTTAGTTGTAATTTTGATGAATTTTCTTTTTATTATTAGCTATGTTTGGCAATATTGTGTTGGAAAGCTGGAATATAAATGTTCTTAATAAATAAGTAAACAATAAATGTTACCACACCAAACTGAGCACATTAGCAACTGCATTGTTAATGAGATGTGGAGTCCTTGGGCCTCTACTGCACTTCAGAGAGCGGCACGGGGAGAGAGGTGGGTTCTGCTCGGGCTGGTTCAAACTCCTGACGCAGGACTGCCGACCCCTGTCCCTGGGACCCTCTGCTCACACGGAAGGAGAGGGCACATGGATGGAAGTGGGTGGCCTGGAGGCGCATCTTCTCCTGGAGAAAGCGAAGATGCGGATGAGGGGACTGCAAGGCCTGTGCCAGCTCCCCCCCCCCCCCCGAGCTCTGAAGGCTGAAAGCTCGAGGGGCCCCAGGCACACGTGCTCTCAGGCTGCGAAAGGGAGCGCATGCTGAGGCACTCTGAGCAAGGCGCTGGAGGCCCGCGTAAGCAGCACGATCTGTACCGACAGAGAGCAACATCTGTTGGATTAATTAGCTGTGTAATTAGCATCCCCACAGTTGAGAGGATTCACTTCTGGTTCCTGAAATGTTTCCAGCATTTGTATCATCTTCATTCTGCACATCAGACGAGGCAGAGAATGACTGGCCACAGCAAAGGCATCCAGGCCCTGGGGCAGCAAGAGCGCCCAGGCCAGGCAGGAGGCTGGCGGGACAGAAACAGCCTCAGCACGCAGCCTCTCAAGTGGAAAGTCAAGGCAAGGAGTGAAGGTGCAGGCGGCAAAAGGAGAGGGCGGTGGATGCCAAGCCAACCTCCAGCAAGCAGGCCAGGCCAGCACCCGTGCACCTGGGGTCACCTCCGGAGAGGATGCATGGCTCAAAATGCATCAAGGGTGTTTCGAGGGGTGTGGATGCTTGGTCCAGCCCACAGGCCCGCGATAAACAGCCACAGAACTGCACATTGAGGAACTAACCCCGGAAGGAACACTGGGCCAGCTACCAAGCTTGATGGGCCGCAGCAAGAAATTGCATGCTGTCCCAGATTTCTTGGGGGAAATTCAGCCCCATCCAGATAGCTGGAGATGGAGGAGGGATGGGAAAGCAGCTTTGTCGCATCCAAAGGTCAGAAACCACGTCAGCAGAACGACCTCTGACATGAGGAACATGGGCAGAGTACTCTGCCACTACAGCTCCCATTTCCCTGCTGGAGAGTTCCAGACAGACAACTTTCTGGCAGGCATGACAGAGCAGAAAGAAATTGCTCCCTTTTGCCAATATGGAACCATCCAACCATTGGCGCGGGGAAGCAAGAATTCTGCTGCTCCAGAAAAACTAAAACATTCCTGCATATGGTTGCCGGGCCAGCATTTTTCGGCAGCAGCAAGGAAGCAGCAAAAACACAGCTTTCTGAATGAAGGCACGGCTGTAAGCCTGTACATCCAAGAGAGCAGAACACTGTCCGCCTCTTCTCCCGCACCCCAAGACCTCTGGCATGAGATTATGGAGGACGCAGACGCTGCTCCGGGGAGTGAACCGGGAAGAGAAAATGTGTCGTCCTTCCCCTGAACCTATCCCTACAGCACAGCCTCAGCGGCTTCGGCCTCCTGCCCAACCGGCGCAGGATGCTGCACCCGACGTCACCAGAGTCCGGCAGCTGCCAGGCTGCGCAGCAAACATCGCCAGTGAACATTTTCCTCTACGGTGCTGTTTAATCATGAGGGAACCCCCACGGCGGTGCTCAACTGTGTGCTGTTCTTGGGGATTCGACGGAAGGGCTGCTCCGTCCCCTGGGCAGCCCAGGTTCCCAGCTCATCAGTGCTCGCTCAGCTGCACCCATCGGCCGCTGGCGACACCCGGGTTCTCATCAGGCCACAGCAGCCAACTCAACAGCCTGAATGCCCAGAGGGTGACCTGCGTGGGGACAGGCCGGCCCGGCTTCTCTGTGCTGCCACTTGGCAGGCGCACAAAGACACTTCTGGCACCCAGCACAGTTTGCACCACACGTGGAAGCCAAGGCGTGGCACCCGGGAAAGAAAGTGACAAAAAGGCAGAGTAAGGAGGATTGCTGGCAAGATAAGCCTGATGCCTCTCGCCCAGGCAGCATCTGGGGAGGATTTTCTCCAGCAGAGATGCAAGAACTCGATTACATCCCGTTAACCGCACTCTAAACTGATTATGCATGTGCCAAGCTAATGGATTACATTAGCAAGAGGAAAAATAACAGCCCACCAAGCTCCATTCTAGAATATGCTGCACAAGGTCCGGAGGGGAGGGGAGAGGGGTGAGGCAGCCTTCGGACACGTGAAGAGCAGGAATTATGACAAGCTTCGGCAATGTGTATCAGACCCCAGGGTTCAACTTCTCCTGGCCAATCCACAGAGTGACCAGGTTTGCACAAGATGGCGGGGTGGCCGTGGGGTGAGGCAAGGGCTGCTCAGCCCTCGTATCAACTATGGAGGATAGGTCTGCATGGCGTGGCGCAATCCCCAACTGCCCCAGTTGGAGGTGGCATACTCAAAAGAGTGGCCGCAAACACTCCGCACATGCCACATCGCACCATGGACTGAATCGCTCCTGACGCGCCAAGCATGTTACAAGAAGCAGCGCAGTACTTAACACACAGCGCACAGCGACCTCCCCAAAAGCAGGCCCTTCTCAGGCCAGAACACTGCCCGAGGCTGGAATCGCGCCGAGGGCCAACGCCGGCTGGGTGACGCCCTCTGACGGCCTCCCACCTTGGCCGACCGTGCCGCTTGCCTGCAGTGCCCCTCCCGGGGACCCGGCGTCCCCCACACGGGGAAGCCTTGAGGGCAGCAGTTGCGTCTGGACCTTTCTGCACTAGCGGGGCACCAGCCGCTCGCTGCTGCTACCGGCAGCGGCCCTGCCCAGGAGAGTCGCCACTGCCGCGCCTTCCCAGCCTCTCGCAGGAGACCTCCCACCCGCACTGCCGACATGGCCGCACAGGCCGACCGTGGCCCCGGCAGGCCAGCTCGCCTGTCCACCGTGCCACGCCTGCACCCACCCCTGCACCGTCTCCTGCAGTGGCTTGTGGGGGGGCCGCCACAGTCTCGCTAGGCCAGGTTCATGACGGCTCCTCGAGCTTCACGTGAGGACCAAAGCAGGCGGTGCCTGCTGCACTAGCCGGCAGTTCAGTGGTGCTTGCAGCAAAGCTGTGCCAGGCCATATCCTTGGCAGCTTCCCCTGGCCCCACAGTCGAAGGAAGCCAAGGACGAGCAGAGGGAGGGAGGGGGCAGCCGTGCGCACAGCTGCACCAAAGCCGGGAGCAGGCATCGCGGCGAGGGGACCCTTCATGGAGCGAGGGGAAGGGAGAAGGGAGGCAAAGCGAGAGAACACAAGCGAAGAGAGCAGGAGACAGAGCGCGTGTGAGTGAATGGAAGGTACATGAAGTGAAGCCGCTTAGATTTATGGCAATTTGTACCTGATTGTTCATACTAAAGCCATTATGGGATGATTAGAGAAAAAGGTGAAGCTTTAAGTCCAGGGAAAATCAATAGAAACGTCTGGAGCAATTCTGCCGCGCAAGTGAAAGGACTATTTACTGTATGCAGAGCTTCTTGATTTCCAGCTTCTTGGGGGTGGGGGTGGGGGGCAGAAATATGCAGACAGAAGCAGCAAGCCAAGGCAGTGACCGCCTGCAGGAGCAGGAGCTCTCCCCCATCCAGCGGCTCCCAAGAGGAACACCAGCTGCCCACCCACCAGGCCGACGTGATCCGCACGCACCTGTGCGCCCCGCAGCCCCCGCTTGGCAAAGAGTGTTCAAGGGGCTGGCGCTGCCTGCGGCAAACGTCCATCGCGCTGGCATTAGTGTCATTAGTCGGCCGGCTGCTGCCTGCGCAGAGCACGCCTGCTGGGAGGAGAAGCCGCTCCCAGAGTGCTTTGCTCACCTCGCCCGGCACCCCGGGGCAGCAGCCCTGAGCGCCACTCCTCGCCGGAAGCCGCTGCCAAAGCCAGCAGGAGGGGCGTCTCCGCGGCACCCAGACCCACCCCAGCAGAGCAGACACCGGGCCCGCCTTACCTTGTAGAGTTTCAAGCTGGCCTCGTGCCGGGAGTTCGCAGTGTGGAGCCGCAGCTTCTCCAGGCTGTTGGTGTAGTAGTCGCAGGCGTTGCACTTCAGGTGCACGGGGTTCCCGATGGCCACGCACTTGAGCCGCCACTCGTTGGCCTTGCCCCCCTCCTTGATGTGCGCCACCAGCTGGTGCTTCTGCACGTGCTTGTCCGTCTTGCAGTGGAGCTGGAAGTTGGCCTTGAGCTGCGTGTTGTAGCGGCAGAGCTTGCACTGGTACGAGTCGCCCATCACCGCTTTCCACTCATCCTCGGGCAGGCTGCGCTCGACATTCATGTGCAGCCCCAGCAGGTCCAAATTGTCCGTGGTGAACTTGTTGCACACTGCACACTGGAAAAGCTTCAGCGAAGGGTCATTGGTCTGTGTGAAGGTCTCCCCCAGATTCATGAGCTCCTCGGACACCAGCTGCCCACCCCCAAGCCGCATGTCCAGAGGTATCTCTCCACCCACTGCACAGAGAAAGAAGAAAGTCAGTCAGAAACGCTCTGCACAAGCCACGCAGGTGGAGGGAGCCACTCAAGCCCACACCAGGCCCGGCGGGGCACCTAGGAGAGGCCCAGAGGTCCAAGCACCATCCCAGGACCTCATACCATGGGCGGGGGATCAGCACGGCCAGACGCATGACCCCAGAGCCCCTCCCCAGTTACGCTGGAAGGCCTGCAACAAACACACTGGAAATGCAAAGCATCGTGGGAGCCTCTTGCCTTCACAGTGAAATTCACCATTTAGAAAACGAATCAGCGCTGCTTCAGAAAGTTACAGGCAGTTCACACTGCTGCGAGTTGCTTAGGTTACTAAAAGTGAAACAGAAAGAGAGGGATGGAGGAGTGCTTTCAAGCAATGCAGAAGCACAGGGCTCCCTCCAAGACTCTGCTCTAAGCAGGGAGTCTGGCTCCAACACGGGGTGAGGCGGCTTTTGTGCACATGGCTTCCCATTCGCCTGAGCGTCCTCCATTTGCTACATCAAGTGAAGTTAAGCCGACAAAGCATTTGGGTATGAACACACCGATCGGGGAAGACACAAACAGAAATCCTGGGAAGCCTGTTCTAATGCATGTTTTCCTTGAAATTTTCTGAAAACTGTGGAGTTCAATGAAAAAGTTTGCGATCAGAGGTTATGGATTGTTCGGTCTTGAATGAATGAAGATGAGCAAGTTAGCTTCTCTGAGTGTTTCCAAGGACATATTTACTGAAATGGACTAGGATATAAATGAAACATGAGTTCAAGACACCTCACCTCATATTGCTATGTCACTTGCACACTGCAACCCAACGGTATGCATGTTTACTCAGAAAAAAATCACATAGTCCAGCAATACTTACTCCCATGTAAGCGTGTGGAAGTTATACTTCCGCGCATATACCCTACTGAAGAGGTTGTTGTTGTTATCAAGATTAGCTGCATATCTAGATTTATGGCTGTAGTTATTTCATTGCAAGGCTTATTTTCTGAGAGATCTCTCATTGTTTTAAATTCCTTTTATTTCTGCAGGAAAGTCTGCATACTTCCGAAGCCCAGTTAATATACTCTTTCTTTTGCTTACTACAATGTTAATGGCTTCTATTGTCAGCTGTCATTTTATTCCTATGTTCCTACCTAGCAAAATTAAGACACATTTAGTACATTCTGGTTCAACATTTCACTGCCTCATCTGCTGGGTATATTTGTAATTATTGCTGCAATAAAAATCAAGCCATTTTTACTTGTACGTTTCATATTCAAAGCAACCATTTAATCTGCCACTTTACACACAATGCATTTCATGTTTGTAAAGTACACTCAGAAAACAAAGACCACACAGATTTCATTTCCCACAGAGTCGCCTGGAGCACCCACCACCCCAGCCAAATGAAACCGACCCCAGATTCCTTCCATGGTCTGGCATCTCAAGGCACTGCCCAAGTCTTCTGCCCCCAGGTGCTCCTAGGTGAGGGGAAGAGCCCAGCAGCTCCCATCAGACTAGGAGCACGCTGGCCACTCTGGACATCACATACCCCACGGTTAAGAGGCCGAGCTACAATTTGGTGTGATGGGTGAATGGACGAACCACGGCGCCAGCCACTGCTCTGCCTGCAGAAGTGGCTGCATCACACAGGCGGCAGGAAGCCTGTGCAGGCAGGCGCTCGGAGACGGGGAGCAAGCAGCAGACTCAGGCAGGCAGCTCCAAGCCAGGACTGGCCAGCTATCCGTACGAAAGTGTAAATACATTGTATTTCAATGTATTTTATCATGTTGTAAGTCGCCCCAAGGTTTCGGCAAGGGGCGGCATAGAAATGTTATAATAATAACAACAACAACAACAACAACAACAACAACAACAACTAAGGGGCAGGCGCTAGGCCAGTCTGGATGCACCTGTGCACAGGCCTGAACTGAGCTGTGGCTGCCTTCCTAGCCCATCTGTCGAAGCAGGAGCACGATCAGGTTCTCGCCCTTCTAGGTAAGCACACCGGGCAGGAAGGAGCAGGCAAGGCAAGACAGCCGGGCCCAGAGCAAACAGAAGAAAGCCGAGAGCATTCTGAACACCCACAGGGTCCAGCAGAGAGCGCAACGGCCCAGCCCCGAGTTCAAAACCTGGTTCAGCTGTGAGTAAGTATCTCAGCTTCCCATCCTTGAAATGGAAACAAACATCCTACCCTTAGGTAGGTAAGATCAGGGCTTACACAAAATCTTAAAAAGCAAGCAGGAAATAAAAGAGGAGCTATGAAGTGGGAATTCAGGTGTCAGGCTGTTCATAAAGCGCCTGACTGGAAACATGTTCACCCATTGCTCATGCGCACGGATCACCTTTTCCATGCAGTGGTTGCCACGCACACAGCGGCACATCCCAGCCATCTACTCACCCACACACGTCTGTCCCGCTTCCCCAGTCCACCCCAGGCAAAGGAAGGAAGTACCACTGAACTGTGGGGAAGACGATCCTGTTCCCACGGCACTGCTGCCTCCCTCCCTCCCTCCCTCCCTCCCTCCCTCCCTCGGAGGCTTCCACCGCTGCAATCCCCCCGCAGGCCGGCGTGGCCCATCCCGGCCTCTCTGTTCATTTGGCACCATGAGCCCTTGAAAGACCAGCTCTTCTCCTGCAAATGGTTTTGTGGCGGCTGGAACACTTTTGTCTACAGCAACTGCTGTCATTCTCGCCGTCTAAGCAGCAGCAGTGCCGTGTTTTGGATCTACCACTGAACAACGGAGGTTGCAATGCTCCTTAATGTTTAACAAGATGTCCATCACAAAACTGGAACTTTCACAGAATCTGTTGGACTCTCTGTGAACATGTCATCAATGCAGCTCTTTGGGAAGCCTACACACTACAAAAGAATGGGAATCTGGGAATTTCAAACACAATGAGACACAAAGGCAACGTCTTTCTCATCTATATCTGCCACTTAGATCAGTGGAATAAGGCTCATATGCATGATTTATCTCTCTCCCTCTCCCCTGCCAATATTTTTGTGCCAATTAGACTAACAGTCATTGCTCCATATAGGACAAGGAAAGACCTTTGTTCCCCGCAAAACTCCCCCTGTAAATATGTCTACTGGCAGGCGACACGAAAGGGGAAAGCCGTGCCAGCTCCCCTCAGCCACCTCCATTCTCTCCTCCCGTCAGGCTGACCGATACTCACCCAGGGACACAGACGGCCCTCTCTGGAGGCCCTCTGGCACCAAGGCCTCCGCCTCAGGCCAGCCTCTGGATCCATCTGCAGAGTGCGGGGAGGCTGCTTGGTGAAGAAGAATGGGCTGCGTGAAGGAAAGACCCCTGTGATCTGGGTCTCTCCATCTCAGCCGACCAGCTGTTCAGACTTGAAGTCATGAGGCAACTGACAATTACATTCAGCTACCAGGACCTTCCCGGTCTGGTATGCTCTTAATTTGTATAAAATACTGACTTTTGTGATCACTGCTGGAATTCAAGAGATATTTGGTCTTCTCAAACCGGTAAAAGCTTATTAATATTAATAAGATTTCCAATTCTAGGCCCAAACTTTAATGAAAGCCTTCCATACAAAAACATAGATCTAGTTTTTCTATGACAATCCAACTGACCATAAAGTTAAAGAACCCCTACAGGCTCCTTAATCAGGGGAACCCTTTTATTCATTCCTACTGTAAACGCTTCACCTGAGTGCCGCTGAAGCTGGAACAAGCCCTGAGTGTCAAGCTCCACTGCAGAATCAAACGCAGGCGTTTCTAACAATGAGGCCGTGCTAAGAAACTATCGTCATTCGGATCTGGGGGAACAGCGCAAGCGAAGCATACAAGGAGCGGTGCCACAACAAGCCCAGTGCCAGCCATGCAGCCTCTTGCGGAAGAGCTTGCCGTGCGCACCCAGCCCGCACGTCCAGCTCTCTGGGAGAAAAAGGGGGCGAACGCCACACCTGCCAATATGGCAACCGGCACAGTCTGAGCACTGCTCGGTGCCTGCAAACGTCAGGCTGGCCTTTGCTCGAGCCGCTTCTTGACAGCAGCCGAGCAAACAGGGGGCGAGCCCTGCATGCGGCAAGGCTTCAGCCAGTGGCAAAGATCCTCCTCACCAAGCACTGCGCAGCTACAACGGGGCAGCTGCACCTTCATGCCGCAGAGCAGGCGTGAAGCTGCACCTGCCCTTCTCCTTCCTACGAGTATATGGCCTCCGCCCTCGTGGCAGCAACAAAGCATTCAGAGCAGCTACCGAAACTCCTCGGCTCAGAGGAGAGCTTCTGGGAGACCTGAGGCAGGCCCTCTGCACAGCTCCCGCTCCCTGCTCATGGGTGCATCTCCAGGAGCACATCCACCCCAGCTGGAGACCAGAAAGGCTGCAGATCTGGACTCCTCAAAATCAGCTGGGTGCGCACGCACACACACGAATGTGCGCCTGTATACAGGCTGATGAGTGCATGCACAACATGCTCAACGCATGATGCACATGCACACCCTCCCTCCCAGACACGGCTGTCGGTCAGCAGGGCAGCACACGGAACATATCCGACACGTACTTGTCCGAGGGCCCCCACAGCAGTCTCCACATCACCCCCTTAACGGCACAGCAAAGACTCCCTGTGCGGTCAAAAGGGTGCGAACGCCTCGCCTGCAGAACAGACACCTCTCGGGCATGCTCCACGAGCCACCAAGACCACGCCACTCCTCTCCCCCGCAGCCAGCCCCCGAGACCGGCTGCCAGGCAACCCACTGGAGAGGCACGGCCCGAGCACTGCTCCTCTCACCTAGGGACGGGGCCATGGACGCCAGCGTGCTGGCGGGGTCCAGCTGGAAGCTGCTCGTCATGAGCTGGGCATCGGGGCCGGCGCCGTCCACCCTCAAGCTGGGCAGGGCCATGTTCTGTGCCAGGTAGTACTGGTACAGCTCCGCCTCGGCAGGCAGGCTGCCCAGACCCAGGTGGCGGTTGTGCTGCATTTGGCTCATGTTCTGCTGAAGCAGCATCATGTTGTGCATGTGCTTCTCACTGGTCATGTGAATGCGCAGGTTCCGGGCAACGTTGGTCTCATAGTCACACACTTCACACCGCCAGGTGGGTTTGCTTTTTGGTTTGGTGGGGGAGGGGGCCCCACAGCTGCTACCCATGGTTGCGGCGGCGGCGGCAGCTGCCGCCGCCGCCGCTGCCGCCGCCGCCGCCCCAGCAGTGTGGCTGAAAACTTGCTCCCCGCCTCCATTCTGCAGGTTCTGCATGTTGTTGAGATGCTTGTCAGACTGCATATGGATGCTGAGGTTGCCTTTGGTAGTGGTGGAGTAGTTGCAGACCTCGCAGCGGAAGGGCTTGTAACCGCACGTGTAGCTCTCGCCCCGCGCCAGCCGCGGGTGGGGCTGCCCGCCCTTGCAGTAGGCGCAGGCCCCCCCCGGCTCCGGGTGCTTCTCCTTCATGTGCGCCTCGAGCGTCTGCTGGTACTTGTAGTGCCAGTTGCACTTGGGGCACTTGAGCGTCTTGCACGAGTTCCGCGAATGCATCATGGTCATGTGGCCGCCGAGCGAGCGCGAGGAGCCCAGGACGGTGTCGCACTTGGGGCACTCCACGCCGCTCCCCGAAGGGCACTCCCCACCCCCGAGGTCGCAGAGAGGGCCCACGTGCTGGTGATGGGAGAGGCAGGGTCCCTCCTCACCCTCCACCCCCTCATTTGGTTCCGGCGCTGCCGCGCTGTCTTTGCTGGCACTCTCCTCACCGAAGTCGAGCCGCCTGCCGCTGGCCTCGCCGCCTTCACTGTTAAAGCTTAAACAATTCCTCCTGCTTGCACCATCGAAGACAAAGGAAGAAGCAGAATTAGAGCTAGAAGAAGCCGTGCCCCTGGACAGTGCCTGGAGCACGGCAGGCATCAAGGGAGAAATGCTTTGGTTTGAGAGAGCAAGGTCCTTCTTGCTGCCGCCGCTGCCCACCACAGTCCCAGACTCCTCGGGAGGCCTGTCCTCCAGTCCGTCCTCCAGCTCGCTCGGGAACAGCCCTTTGCACCCCTCTTCCTCCTCCTCCTCCTCCTCCTCCTCCTCTTCCTCCTCCTCCTCCTCTTCCTCCTCCTCCTCTTCCTCCTCCTCCTCCTCCTCCTCCTCGGCTGGCTCTGCTTTCTCCAAGAGCCCATCCGGGTCGGCCAGCTCTTGCTGCTCTAAGGCCCCAGGGTCCTTCTCCTCTGAGGATATGGCAGGGCTGGAAGCCAGGGGGCCCAGGGGAACTGAGGTAATTGGTGTCTTCAAAGCTGAGCTCGTTAGCCCTCCAAGGTTCAAGAGGCCCCCCGGCGCCAAGAGGCCTGGCGGGGGCTGTTCTGCTCCACTGGCAGCCCCAGCCTGGGCACCATCTTCCCCTTCCATGCGAATCCCACTGAATTTTCCATAGAAACTGTGTCCAGGGCCTATGAGGCTGGCTGTGGAAACTAAAGGGTGTGGAAAGGTTTGGTTTTTTGGTTCCAAAAAGCTCACAAGGGGCTCCTTGTCTTTGCCTATCCCTTGAATGATAGCGGAGATGCTCTTATTGCCAAGAATTTTCCGCTCCTCCTCGCTCAGAGTCATTCGATGGTCATGCACCGCGTGGGTCACAAAAGAGCGGACATAACCAAAGGAGAGCTTGCACAAGAAGCACATCAGGATGGGCTTCCGCTTCCCATAGAGCACGAAGCTATCGAATTTGGACAGGTCCACATTGTTGGGGACATCTTTGGATACACAGGAACTTTTGGCAGAACCGTCGCTGTTCAGGTAATCCTTGTTGCTTTTGTGGCGCACATCAAAAACGCGGAAGCTGTGCAGGACAGGGCTGACCCCTGCCAGGGCTGAGGTATTTGGGAAGCTCTGGTCTGAGCCCTCAAACCACTTCCCAAAGGATGAGGCTATGTGGAAAGTGTTGATGATCTGCGGGTAGACAGGGGCGGCAGAGGCGGCCTCGCCCTGCTTGCTCCCCGTGCTGGCGGGAGAGTTCACGAAGAGTGCTGGGAGCGCCCCGCCGCTCACGCCGCTGCCGGCCCCGCAGACCCCCCCACCCGGGATCAGCTGGCTGATGCTTTCGACAATGTATGCCGAGCCATCTGGCTGGTAGACGATCTCCCCCGCCAGGTTCTCCACGTCGCTCTCCTCGTCTCCCTCCTCGCCAGTGTCGCTCCCGCAGTCGCCCGGCAGCGGGAGCAGGGGGGGCGCGCTGGGGCAGTGGTGCTCCATGTAGGTCTGCAGGCTGGCGAAGGAGGCGGCGCACTCGTTGCAGCGCACCTCCTTGCCGGCGGGCTCGGCCGTGGGGACGGCGCTTCCAGGGGAGTGCTCGCCGAAGGAAGCCTGCCGGGTGTCTAGGGCTCCACGGTTTGGCACTGCTGATGGCTCCATGTTGCTCGGGTTGCTGGGGAGGTGGGTGCTACCAAAGCCAGTCCATTGCTGGTGCTGCGGGATCGCACACCCATTGTCCTTCCCCAGGATGATGGGCGAGTCACAGCCTTCCATGCCGAGGCCTGCATGGAGTGTTCATCGCACCCGGTATGGCTTGGACCTGGAGGCAGACAAAGAGGGAGGGGAGAGAGAAGCAGAGAGTCAGGTCAGCCGGGAGGAAGGAAGCAAGGCCACATTCCCCCGCAGAGTGCTTGGGTCACGCACAAGGTGTGGCCCAATGGAAAGAGAGGAGGGGGCGGCGTGGAGTCTGCCGAGACCCTGGAACCAGCCGGCACTGCAAGAGCCGAAGAGCAGGGCACAGCCTCCTGGAACACGCACACCCCCGAGGGCCTGACGAGCACCTCTGCCGCCCTCAGAGCACAGCTCACACGGGGCGACTGGGGACAACAAGGGCAGGAAGGCGCTCGGCTCCACTCTGGCCAGGCAGCTGAAGGAAGTGCAGCTTGCCTCTTGACTCCCGGGAATCCCTGGGCATGGCTGCCTCCACGCACAGGTCAGAGTGCTGAGGGCCCGGCCCCGGGTCATGAAACGGCCACCAGCGGACGGTCAGAGGAAGCCCACCGGTGGACTGAGCTTTATGAAGGCAGCCGCCCAGACCCCACCCCCACTGGACAGTGCTGCGCAGCACGGGCTCCCCAGGGCCACCCCTGCGCCTGCCCCACCAAGGAAGGCCAACCTGCACTGCCGGCCTTGGGGCAGGGGCAGCCCTACTACGGGCCCACAGGACTGGCCCCAGCACCATGCCCAGGGCAGTTCCGTGGCCGCGTCAGCCGGGCTACGGTGCAAGCGAACGTGCTCCCAGAGATGGGCGTAATCCGATCACCTTGCAGAGGAGGACGGAGCACACAAATGGATGGACCTGCAGAGATGACTGGGCAGGACCGCCCAGGCCTCTGCATGCGACTCCTCACAGCCCCGCTGGACCCCAGGGGTTCCGGGGCCAGAGGCAGCCCTTCTGGCCCTTTGCACACAATGGCCATGCCAATCCGCCGAGATGCTCTTTCGGTGCAGAGCGGCTGGGGAGGAGGAGCAGAGGTGGCCGAAGGCAGGCTTTGGCACGGGGCAGGAGCTGGGCAGCGCTCCGGAAAGGAAAGGAAAGGAAAGGAAAGGAAAGGAAAGGAAAGGAAAGGGCAGCACCGCACGGGCCTACAGGGGGGAGCAGGTGCTGCTGGCCAGCCTGCCTCCAGCAGCCCCCGGATTCCCCTCTAGGGCCGTTCAGAGGTGGGAGCGAAAGGGAGCGGGGCGCCTCCTGCCTACAGCCCGGCAGCACCCCGGGCATTGCCACTGACGGCAGCGGGGGCTTCACCAGCCCACTTGGCGCAGAGAATTGCCCGCAGGCGTCTCCCGGGCCTCCTGGACGATTGCACCTCTTGCCATGCCCCTCTCACTCCTATTACAAACAGGCCTTTGGCTGGAAGGGGGCCCGGAGTCATCGGGGTTGGCACTCATCAGCAGCACAGAGGCTGCATGCTTCTACGTGCCCCGCGTCAGGTGTTCTCCTTGGCAGACTGCTCCACTGCCCTTGACTGGGCCACCTGGTGGCAGGTGAGCCCCCTGCCGTCTGGCCCTTTCTGGTGCCAGCAGCGGGCCAAGCCCCCTGCCAGGCACAACCCTTTCCTGGTAGGGTCCCTTTCAGCTGCCCTGCAGCACGCTGAGACCGCGCCGCTAACCTCGCAGGACCCGAAAGCCTGGCAAATCCCCTGCACCTGAATGATGCTGCGGCGAGGGCTCCACAGAAAAGTTTGACTGGGACGGGGGGGGGGGGGGACACACACAAGACACCGGCCGGCCCTCCCTGCAGAGCTGCTGCTGGCCATGAGCCACCTGATTGACAGTTTGGACCAGCAGGGCTGGCAGAGCTGATGGGGCGGGAGGGTTAACAGCCTGATTGTAAAATCAATGTCATAAATGCTTGGTAAGTTACAGGAACAAGCGGGAAGAGGAGCTGCGATTGATAAAGGACTGCGGCTTTGATGCTGCACTAGGGACTTGTTTATTGACAAGAAAGCCAATCTCCTCTGCAGGCCAGGCCAGGCCAGGCCAGGCCAGGCCAGAGAAACCGGCAAGTGCTTCCCAATTAATTGGTGGGCTCTCTGGCCTTCTGGCCGCCCACCTGCTCCCCCCAACAAGAAGGCACACGCCATGCCCAGGCTCCCTCGCTGCCCCTTCGGTCCTTGCAGGTGCCAGCGGAAGGCTGGGGAAGGGAGGCCCGTGGACAGCGGCCACATCTCCCTCTGGAGCACACAGCCGCGTCCAAAGCCATTGCCATTTGGGCACGCAGTCCGGAAGGGCCCACAGCAGGGAGAGCTGCAGCCATGGCCTCAGGGCCTGCCCCAGCCTGACCCCGCTCCCCAGGACAGAGACGGAGCATCCTCACGCATCTCTGGTCCACGCAGCAGACCAGCCTTCCCGTCCAAACCCCTTCTCTGCATCCAGAGCGACTTCATCTCTCTCCATCAATCAGTCATTAAGGAAAAGGTAGCTCTTACTTAAGGAAGCAGAAGTCAACTATTCAGGTCGATCAGTGGACTGTCTGTAAACACGGTTTCCCGTAAAATCAATGCTCTTCGGTTAGAGAGAGCAGGGACTGGGAACCTCAGCCCCCCCCCCCCCCCCTCCTCACACCCCCTGCCCAGCCCCTGGTGCTCACAGCTCCACTTCAGCCCAACTCCTGGAGGCCCCCACCGCCGGCACTCTCCAACTGTAAGCAGAAGGCCTTCCACAGTGATGTATTAACATATTATATCCTGCCTCTTGATAAAAAGATCTCCAAGGTAGGTCACAAATATAAAACCGAGTACAACTTGAAGCAGCAGCAACAACACAAAACCGCAGAACAGAAACAAACTCTGATTGCTCAGCTGACAGCAAAACAGAACCGGCCCTTGGAATGAAAGGGGCCAGGCAACCCCCCCTGCGAGTAAGCGAGCTCAATACATAGCCGCTTTTCTCCCATGTATTGTATCCAAAAATGTTGAGTGATTTACAAAGCAACACATTTAAATACATGCAATGAATGCAAACATTCAGTTAATATGCAAGATTACCAATGGGCAAACTAAAGCAGCCAGTGACCACGCCTGGTGCCACTGCTGGAAAGGCCCCGACAACTGAGACGGAAGAGGGACTCTGAGCAGGTCCTTCCAACTAAGGAAGGTGCTAAACTTATCAGAGGGCTCCTATGGAAGATGGCGATCCACGACCAGGGTATTACGTGCGTGCACAGTCAAACCCGGCACTCTGAGCTGAGCCTGGGAGCCAGGTAAGTGAACTGAAGCGCGATGAAACAGTCCTGGGATTTTCAGGAAGAAGCAGGCCTGCGCGAAACCAGTGCGGATGCGTCCAAGGCACGCTGGCAGCAGCTATGTTGCTCCTTTCCTTAACACTGAACGCATCTAAAAGTCAACTCAGTAAAGTTCTTACTGTCTGGATAAATGGTACTCTTAAGTCAAATACTAAACACACTGCTTCTATGAATAGGCCAAGGTGCACACGATCCTTTCCAGGGGCTTCAGCAGGGAGCCCCGGAGGCAGCCCAGAAGCAGCAAGCGGAACTCGCAAGGGCCTGGCTGCGCTGGCCCTTGGGGAGACCCTGCTGGAGGGGAAAGCCAGGGGGCACCTGCTGGGCATGGGGTGGCTCCCATATGTACGAGGAACACTGTACGGGGAGGGGGCCGTCACGAGCAAGTCTTCTGCGCATGTGTGGCAGAGAGCACGCATGCTAAGTGTGTGCTGCCCGCTCTTTCCTCTCTCCATCTGGCTCCCCTCCTCCCTTCTATTCTCTGGCCCCCCAGCCCACCTCCCCGACCCCATTTTCTTTCTGTTCTTCTGTTCTCTCCAGTTGCCCTTCTTTTTACCTCTGGCTCCTCTCTCCCTGCCTCTGCACCCTCTCGCTGGCCACCCTGTCTCTCTCCCTCTCCCCACGCAAACGAATGGAGCAAATTCTCCATTCATTTGCTCAGAGCAAGAAAAGCCCCCTGCCAAAAATCAGCTGGAGGGGGCACTGCCCACTCTTGCCATGGACACAGGGCTCCGAGAGCCCGGTGGGGGGCGGCGTGCACTTCACACCCCTCTCCAGCCATTTTTTTCGCAAGGTGGCTTTTTTGCTCCTGATAAAAGCCTATGAGAAATTGTTCCACAGAGATACAGAGGGAGCAAAAATAGCTTGAGGGCACCTCCACCTGGCCTTGCGGGTGCTGCGCTGAAGACCCTTGCATTGGATCAATAATTTTAATAAGGAATGGCAGAAATAACTATGCTGGGAATCGCACAGAGAACATGAAAAAACCCTATTTTCCCCATGCCTTCAAAACTTCCAGAAATGCAACTATTCTTCTAATGAACGTCTTCCCACTACATAGAAATCATTTGGGGGTGGTAAAGGCCAGCATATCAAAACCTTGTCTTAAAGTTTCCATGCATCATTTTAAAAGAAACCATTTCATAACCCAAAATAATTCAGCTTTCTCAATTTCCCAGAAAGACCAATTTTCAGGGTTTGGGCGTTCGTGCCATTTTGGAATTCAGGCCAGATACCAGGGGAAGATGGCAGCCGCTGCTCCAGGAATCCCGAAGTGACCGAGACCAACCAAGGGGTGAAACCCTTGGCTTCCCACACTCGTATGGCACAGGCGATCCGGGAAGCCCCTCGCGTGGCCAGCCCGGGGCCACTGATGTGGGTTTGCCTGGTGCACCCCCTGCTCGCGTGCTACCACTCCCCCTGCCCCGTCCAGGCCGAGCCCCACTCCCCAAGCTCTGCCGCCGCGTCCAGGCACCGCCACAGAATCTGAGCTGCCCTAGCGCCGCGGGCCGCACACCGGCCCATCCTCCTCGTTACAGCAGAATCATCTGCGGCAAAACACATGCACTCAGCACCAAAGATCCTGGCTGTCCCATTTCCCCCTTGCCTTAACTTTCGCGTGCCACCGAAGCTGCCACGAAGGCGCACTTTGACATTTGCCTGTGCAAAAGATCCTGCGACTTCCAGACCATTTGAGCAGGTGACCACATGCGTGGAGGAGACACGGTAATGTACAGCTCGTCAGAAGGTCAAGGGGAACCTTCCCCACCCGGATGCCCTCCGGATGTTTTGA